GTATCCATGTGTTCTCATCATTTAGCTCCCACTTATAAGTAAGAACACGCAGTATTTGGTTTTCTATTCCTGTGTTAGTTTGCTAAGGATAATGGCCTCCAGCTCCATCTATGCTTCTGCAAAGGAGGTGATCTCATTCTTTGATGATTGGATAGTGTTCCATGGTGTATATGTATCACATTTTCTTTCTCCAGTCAATGGTATTTTATGAATCTTGACAGGAAACAGGACCCACCTGCCATTAAAAAAGCCAAAATGCTTGACACTTTCTCATGGGCCAGTGCAGTCAAAACATGGGCTTCAAACTTCATGTCAGCCAACACACACAACCAATCCTGGCTTAGAATTAGGAGCTAACAGTCCAAAGAAGCAATGATGATGTAGAATGTTGCCATTGTGACAACATTGGCAAAGATAGCAAGGCCAAAAAAACAAAAGACAATGTATGGTGCCAACGCTCATGGTGCCAGCAGGGTGCTTAGTGGACAGTGCCATGGCATGATTTCGGCTCTGGTCAGGGTATCAAGTCTCCTATTGCTCCTTCCCACTCTTAAAGTCTTCCTAATAGGTCTGTCAGCCACACTATGTATATCCAGAATCCAACCATTTCTCTTCATCTCTTCTGCAGACATCATCTCATGGTTAGACTTTATTGCAATAGCCTCCTGACTGGTCTCTCTGATTCAGAACTTGCCCACCCTTGGTCCATTCTTAAGAAAGCAGCCAGAGATATCCAATTAAACTATAAGTCAGATCAAATCATTTCTCTGCTCAACACCCTTTGGAGACTTCTCATCTCATTCTGAGTCAAAACCAAACTCAGTCAAACCTTTCGAAGGCCAACACAATCTAAATGCCACTGCATCTCAAACCTTGTCTCCTCCTATTGTCATCCTCGCTCCCTTCAAGCCACAGCCCTGCTGTTCCTCCGACAAGCTTTCTGCATAGAATGTTCTTCCTCTAAAAATATGTGCATCTCCCTCTTTCACCTCCTTCAGAATTTTAACTAAACACTTCTCAGCAAGCCCCTCCCATCACCCTCAACTAAAGTTGCATGTGTGCACACATATGCACATACATCTATCTCAGAGGAAAGCAGAAAAATGTTCAATTGCTCAAGGACTGTTTAATCTGGAAAGCAAAATACTGATAGAGAGCTACAGTTTTTCAAAAACAGATGTGGCACACAATCATGCAAATCACAGCATTCTCCATAGATTTAAAAATCAAAATGTATGAGGCAGAGAAATCAAATAATTAAGTAAATTGTGTAGCAAGTTGAAAAGACAGAATGTAATTTTCAGCTTCCTGTCCCATCTTCTAACATCATACATACCTTAGATCATCATATAAAATTCTAGGAAGGCAGTTAACACAGGTAAGTTGTAGGTTAAAATGGAATAACTGGCATCTATAGGCACAGAAGACTTCAGCTAAAGTAATATATTTACCATTTTAACTTGGCTAAATAATTTCAATCTGCTTTGAATCCTCTAAGCATTATTTTTCCTCATCAATAAAACACTGCATAAACATAACATGTCACCTACATCTCAAAGGGCTGAGGGTAGCATCCAATAAAATAACATCTATGAGAGTGCTTTGTAGAATACACAACACTATAAAATTATTTTATGGGCTTTATGATTTCTATTGATATAGTTTTGTTTCCATGTGAAATACAAGATTTTTGTTTTATATAATGTTATAAATTTTAGTAACTTAGGTTAGACAATTTTGCTAGTTTATAGTACAATAGGAAAAAATAATTATCCTAAGAATATCATGATTAGCTTTGAGTTTGTTGCTTTTTCTTTGTTTCACAGCTTTATTGAGGTATGATTGATATTCAAATGACTGTATATACTTAATGTCTACCATCTGAGGAGTTTGGACATATGTATGCACCCACAGTACCATCATCATGATAAAGGCAATCGAGGTAATAAACATATCCATTACTCTACAGGTTTCCTTGTGTCACTTTGCCTTTATAATATATATAGTTTGTTTTTTAGAGACAAGGTCTTGCTCTATCATCCAGAGTCGAGTCTAGTGGTACAATTATAGCTCATTACAGTCTTGTACTCTTGGGCTCAAGCATCCTTCCAGCTCAGCCTCCAGAGCAGCCAGGACTGTAGGCACACACCACCAACATGGCTAATTTTTTTTTTAATCTTCTGTAGAGATAAGGTCTCACTATGTTACCCAGGCTGGTCACAAATTCCTGGCCTCAAGCAATCCTCCCACCTCGGCCTTTCAAAGTGCTGGAATTACAGGCTTGAGCCACTGTATCCAACCTTGCTTTTACATTTCTGATGGCAAGACTACTTAACATAAAATCTACTATCTTACCAAAATTTTAAGTGCACAATATCATGTTGTTAACCATATGCACTATGGTGTGTGGTAGTTCTCTGGAACTTATCCATCTTATACAACTGAAACTTTATATCATCCATCCTTGTATCCCGGGGGGGGGGGAGGGAACTGAAACTTTACATACACTGAACAACTTCCTATTTTCCCCTCCTCCTCATTCTCTGGTAATCACAATTCTATTTTGCTTTCTACTTGTACGTAATTATTAAATATGTAATAAAAAATGCTGCTATGCATGCTTTGCTCTTACATAACTTAAAACAGCAGAGTTATTAGCTTAATGGCAATATATATTTACATAGTCACGTTTACTATTAGTATTCTTATTTCCACTTACGGGATCTGTTTTTTAAATTTTTCAGCATGGTGCTAAATAGAATAATGTGGCACTTATTTGTATTTGGCAAAAAATATAAATAAAAACTAAATTGCTTAACTTTCTGTTTAAGTAGAAGAAAAGTTTGTTAGAATTTTCACAACGAAACATATTCTGGAGTCAATGATTCTGAACTATATTTTCTATCTTTCTTATCCAAGTCTTAATCTTGTATGGGAAAAAGATAGCTATAATAATATTTTAGACCATTATAAACAAGATTCCTTTCAAGCTAATGGAGCCAATCCTTGGTTTAAAGAGTTCCTTCATATTTGACTACCACAGGAGGAAGGTAGTACTCAAAACCATGCATCAGAGGGGCCCACATGTTACCCAGTAGCAACATGAGCAACTTAGGAGCATATTTCCTAAGGGTTTCCCAAGCTTGCAGCTTCCAGACTGTAGTATCTACACACTTTGAACGTGTGTAAGAATCTAAATTACAGAACACGTTACGTCTGTAAAGTTTTCCATATTACTTAAGAGAAAACCTATACCAACAACATCCTATTGTTATTTATTTACTTATTTATTTTGAGACGGAATTTCGCTTTTGTTACCCAGGCTGGAGTGCAATGGCACAATCTCGGCTCACCACAACCTCCGCCTCCTGGGTTCAAGCAATTCTCCTGCCTCAGCCTCCTGAGTATTTGGGATTACAGGCACGCGCCACCATGCCCAGCTAATTTTTTGTATTTTTAGTAGAGACAGGGTTTCACCATGTTGACCAGGATGGTCTCGATCTCTTGACCTCGTGATCCACCCGCCTCGGCCTCCCAAAGTGCTGGGATTACAGGCATGAGCCACCACGCCCAACCCCTTTTATTAGTTTCTTTATCAATGCTACTGATTTTGGTGCATAAGCTACTTTCCTTCCTTTTAATTTAGTCATCTAATTTGAGGGAGAGAATTAAGTACATTTTTGAAATCTCTTTTCTACAAAACATTACAAAAGTATAGTAAGGAAAATCTAGATTTAATTGAAATATGTAAACTAGACATACTTAAAAATATATATCAAAAGTTCCAAGTCTAAATCAGCTCAAATACATTATTAACTCCAAAAATCATGGATTAAACAAAAGAAATTATGTTTGCATTGATGTGTGAATCTGCATCCATTCTTGGTACCATGTAATATATGCAACTGCTCAGCTCTAGCTGTCCTTGCAGTCACATTACCATATTATTCAAATATATCTATCATTTATATGTAAATAGACAATATAAATGGCTTCTTCATAAGACAACAATTTTCAAATGACAGACACAGGCAGACATTAGCAGAATAAAAATGTTGCAAATATTCATTCTTTTATTTTTTTAAGGAAAAATGGAAAGTACTTCAAATTTTTAAAAATAGTAGTATGGTAATTACAAAATGGGATCCTAATACACTGAAAATAGCAACAGCTATTCTTCTCAATAAATGTCTGCACCAATGTCATTTGTGTCTTATAAATTACATGTTCTTAGATCCATCTGTGAAAATTGGGATGTTAATTATCACGGTTACATTTCACGATTCCACAGTTAAATGCTGAAGTGGTGCTACAAAAATACCATATGTTTTTCTAAGAGAAATGGAGAAAGATTAATTATGAGTTCAAGTCCAAGTCTTCTAGCAGTAATACTCTCACACAATAAGATCGTTACATTGTGTGCTATGCAATTGGAAGTTTTAATTAATAGCTGAAATACCAACTGAGGGGAAAAACTTTGAAGTCTAAATTTTAAGTATCAGGCTTTCCTACACACACACACACACACACACAAATCTTAATAAGCATGCTTTTGAGAAACCAAGTTACCAGTCCAAAACTAAAAAACCAATCTTATTGCCTATGAGCTTTCTTTGATAATGATCACCATCAGTCTGTTTTAGTCCAAAATTAAAAAAAATTCTGATTGCCTATGAGCTTTCCTTGATAAAGATCACCATCAGGCTGTTTAACTCTATGTAATAAACTCAAAAATTACCATGTAACCTAGTAACAAACAGGATAAATAGATAATGTATTTGATAAAAATTCAACTTAACATTTTTCTGGGTTTTTCTTTTAAGATACTATCATTCAACAATCTCTTATGGGGCACTATTTTACACAAAATTACAAGTCTCATGTATTCAGATAAAATACTAACTTCACTACAGCAATCTAAAAACAAAACTTTATGCTAACACTATAAGAATTTCATTCATATTTCAAATGTCTAAGTTTAAAAGTCTTATTTTACTTACCACGTATTCAAACACAAGTGTCAGCGTCTCCTTTGTATGGATGATGTCATGAAGTAGCACTATGTTAGCATGTTTTAGTCCTTTTAACAGAGAAGCTGTAAAAGTGGACAGAGAGACAATTTATCATGGATAACAACTAATACGTATCATTACAATTTTGGCACATTTTCATGTAACATATATCTATTTTCACATGTTCCAAGTCAATAACAATTCAAAATGAAAGGTAGAAAAACAAACTTTTTTTTTTTTTTTTGAGATGGGGTCTTACTATATCAAACCCCTGGGTTCAAGTGATGTTTTTTCACCTGGAATTACAGGTTTATCACACAGTACCTAGCCAGAAAAACAAGGTTTTCATTTATATAAAACTTCCTTCAGTTATTTTACCTGTCGTTTGTTATTAATCTCTAGTTAGGTTTCATTATGGTCAGGTATGATTTCAATTCCTTAAATTTATAAAGTTTATTATCTAGAATATGGTTTAACTTGGTATGCATTTCATATGTATGGAATCTGTATTCTGCTGATATTGGGCGGAGCTCTATAAATGTCTATTTGATCCTATTATTTAACAATATCACTGAGTTCTATTAATATATCCTTACTAATTTTCTGAATAGTGGTTCCATCAACTACTGTGTGAGGCACACTGGCATCCCCAACTGTAATGATGGATTTGTCAATTACTCATTTGAATTCTGCCTGTTTCTGCTTTTTGTATTATGAAGCTTAGTGGTTCACTGAATACTTGTTTAGGATTGCTGTGTCTTCTTCGTGAATTGACCATTTTATCAATATGTAATGTCCTCTTTACTCCTGGTAAATCCTTCCCTTCCTCCCTCCCTCCCTTTTTCCTTCCTTTCTTCCTTCCTTCCATCCATCCATTCATGAGACAAAGTCTTGCTCTGTCACCCAGGCTAGAGTACAGTGGCGTGATCTCAGCTCACTGCAACCTTTGCCTCCCGGGTTCAAGAAATTCTCCTGCCTCATCCTCTTGAGTAGCTGGGATTATAGGTACCTGCCACCATGCCCAACTAATATTTGTATTTTTAGTAGAGACAGGGTTTTACCATCTTGGCCAGGCTGGTCTCAAACTCCTAACCTCGTGATCCACCCACCTTGGCCTCCCGAAGTGCTGGGATTACAGGTGACAGCCACCATGCCTGGCTTACTCCTGGTAAATTTGTTTGCTCTGAAGTCCTCTTTGTATAGCCATCCACCATTCTCTTGATTAGCATTTACCTGGTGTATATTTTCCCATACTTTTTTTTTTCAGTCCTACTGATATCATACAGTTGAAGTTTCTTGTAGACAATATATGGTTTGGTCATATTTTTAATGCATTTTGCTAATCTCTGACTTTTCATTTTGATGTTTAGGTCATCTAGTTGATGACACTGGTGACCCTCAGCAGGTCCTTGATCTCTTGGCAAATAATAATATGCAAGATCATATCTTTAAAAAGACATTTACAACACCAAGAGTGAACTTTCATGTAAACAGTAAAATCTGGGTGATAATTTTTGATGTGTTAATAAGTTCATTAACTGAAACACGTGTATCACTCTGGTTGGGGATTCTGATAGCTGGGGAGGCTGTGCCTATGTGGAGAATGGAATATATGAGGAAATTCTCTGTACTTTCCAATCAATTTTGCCATAAACCTAAAACTGCTCTAAAATGTAAAGTCTGTTAAAAAACTAAAATTAAGAGATTTACCCTTATTTCAACATATTAAGATATTTTAATTATTTAATATTTCACCCAAATAAAATAATATTTTAGATACACAATTACCATGCAAATCAGTATGCACTGGACAGTCATCAGAGAAGGCAAAAATAAAGTACTTAGGGCTTAGTAGTACACTAAGTTCCAATATTACTTCATCGAATGTGAGCTTGTGTTACCAGAGCTCACATTGTTATTGCTATGAATTTCCATTGTCTTCTCCAAGCAAACCTGTTTCATAACAATATACTAAATCTTAATCCCAAGATTAAACTTTTATAAACACATATTGGTCAAAAGACGGCCATTAAGTCTAACAACTGATCAGTACAGAAGATAATAAGAAGTGTGTTCCCCGGAAATCATAACAAACAGTCTCTCAGACCACAGTGCAATCGAGTTAGAACTCAGAATGCAGAAACTAACTCAGAACCGCACAGCTTCATGGAAACTGAACAACTTGCTCTTGAATGTTGACTAGATAAACAATGAAATGAAGGCAGAAATAAAGATGTTCTTCGAAACCAATGAAACCAGAATCTCTGGGATGCATTTAAAGTAGTCTCTAGAGGAAAATATATAGCAATGAGTGCCCACATGAGAAGAAAGGAGAAATCTAAAATTGACACCCTATCATCAAAATTGAAAGAGCTAGAGGAGCAAGATCAAAAAAACTCAAAACCTAGCAGAAGACAGGAAATAACTAAGATCAGAGCAGAACTGAAGGAAACAGACACACAAAAAATTCTTCAAAAAATCAATAAATCGGCCAGGCGCAGTGGCTCAAGCCTGTAATCCCAGCACTTTGGGGGGCCGAGGCGGGTGGATCACGAGGTCAAGAGATCGAGACCATCCTGGTCAACATGGTGAAACCCCGTCTCTACTAAAAATACAAAAAATCAGCTGGGTATGGTGGTGCATGCCTGTAATCCCAGCTACTCAGGAGGCTGAGGCAGGAGAATTGCCTGAACCCAGGAGGTGGAGATTGCGGTGAGCCGAGATCGCACCATTGCACTCCAGCCTGGGTAACAAGAGCGAAACTCCGTCTCAAAAAAAAAAAAAAAAAAATCAATAAATCCAGGAGCTGGTTTTTCGAAAAGATCAACAAAATAGACAGACCACTAGCCAGATTAATAAAAAAGAAAAGAGAGAATAACCAAATTGATGCAATAAAAAACGATAAAGGGGATATCACCACAGATTCCACAGAAATCCAAACCATCATCAGAGATTATTATAAACAACTCTATACACATAAACTAGTAAACCTGGAAGAAATGGATAAATTCCTGGACACCTGCATCCTCCCAAGCCTAAACTCTGAAGAAGCCGAAACCCTGAATAGACCAATAACAAGGTCTGAAGTCCAGGCAGCAATTAAGAGCCCACCACCCCAAAAAAGCCCAGGTCCAGATGGGTTCACAGTCGAATTCTACCAGACATACAAAGAGGAACTGGTACCATTCCTTCTGAAACTACTCCAGACAATCCAAAAAAAAGGGAATCCTTCCCAAATCATTTTATGAGACAAACATCATCCTGATACCAAAACACGGCAGAGATTCAACAAGAAAAGAAAATTTCAGGCCAATATCCATGATGAACATAGATGCAAAAATCTTCAATAAAATACTGGCAAGCTGATTGCAACAGCATATCAAAAAGCTCATCCACCATGATCAAGTAGGATTCACCCCAGGGATGCAAGGCTGGTTCAACATACGCAACTCCATAAACATAATTCACCACATAAACAGAACCAAAGACAAAAACCACATGATTATCTCGATTGATGCAGAGAAGGCCTTTGACAAAATTCAACAGCTCTTTATGCTAAAAACCCTCAATAAACTAGGTATTGACGGAACGTATCTCAAAATAATAAAAGTTATTTATGACAAACCAACAGCCAATATCATACTGAATGGGCAAAAACTGGAAGCATTCCCTTTGAAATCTGGCACTAGACAAGGATGCCCTCTCTCACCACTCCTATTCAATATAGTACTGGAAGTTCCAGCCAGAGCAATCAGGCAAGAAAAAGAAACAAAGGGTATTCAAATAGGAAAGGAGGAAATCAAATTGTCTCTGTTTGCAGATGACATGATTGTGTATCTAGAAGACCTCATCGTCTCAGCCCAAAATCTCCTGAAACTGACAAACAACGTCAGCAAAGTCTCAGGATACAAAATCAATGTGCAAAAATCACAAGCATTCCTATACACCAGTAACAGACTTAAAGAAGGCCAAATCAAGAATGAACTGCCATTTGCAATTGCTATGAAGAGAATAAAATACCTAGGAATACAACTAACAAGGAACGTAAAGGACCTCTTCAAGGAGAACTACAAGCCACTGCTCAACAAAATAAGAGAGGACACAAACAGATGGAGAAACATTCCATGTTCATGGTTAGGAAGAATCAACATCGTGAAAATGGCCATACTGCCCAAAGTAATTTACAAATTCAATGCTATTCCCATCAAGCTACCAATGACCTTCTTCACAAAACTGTCAAAAAACACCTTAAACTTCCTATGGAACCAAAAGAGAGCCCGCATAGCCAAGTCAATTCTAAGCAAAAAGAACAAAGCAGGAGGCATCACACTACCGCACTTCAAAGTATACTACAAGGCACAGTAATCAAAACAGCATGGTACTGGTACCAAAACAGAGATATAGACCAATGGAACAAAACAGAGGCCTCAGAGGAAATACAACATATCTACAACCATCCGATCTTCGACAAACCTGACAAAAACAAGCAATGGGGAAAGGATTCTCTGTTTAATAAATGGTGTTGGCAAAACTGGCTAGCCATGTGCAGAAAGCAGAAACTGGACACCTTCCTGACACCTTATACCAAAATTAACTCCAGATGGATTAAAGACTTAAACATCAGACCTAACACCATAAAAACCCTAGAAGAAAATCTAGGCAAAACCATTCAGGACATAGGCATAGGCAAGGACTTCATGACCAATATGCCAAAAGCAATGGCAACAAAAGCCAAAATAGACAAATGGGACCTAATCAAACTCCATAGCTTCTGCACAGCAAAAGAAACAGTCAGTAGAGTGAATCAGCAACCAACAGAATAGGAAAAAATTTTTGCAGTCTACCCATCTGACAAGGGGTTGATATCCAGAATTTACAAAGAACTAAAACAGATCTAGAAGAAAAAAACAAACAAGCCCATTCAAAAATGGGCGAAGGATATGAACAGACACTTTACAAAAGAAGACATACAGGAGGCCAACAAACATATGAAAAAATGCTCATCATCACTGGTCATTAGAGAAATGCAAATCAAAACCACATTGAGATACCATCTCACACCAGTTAGAATGGCAATCATTAA